ATAGTAAAAAGTTCTTTCATGTTTTCTTTTCAATAGGTTCAACTCCATATTTAGCAAGTAACCTTGTCAGTGGCAACTGGAAAAATAAATATATATCTTGACCTTTAACCTGTTCAACTGAAATGAACTTACCCTGCTTTGAACTTTTCATTTATACTTGAAGGGATTTCAATATAAAAATACTACAGTCCATAGGAGGAATATGCCACTTACTTCATTTACCTGTAACAGTGGCATATTTACATTAATTTTAATATGAATATTTTATTTTAGTTTATAAAAAAAAACATACTATATATTATTCTAGATCTGCACATGCCAGTATAAAAAATTCATTAAAGAAATATAATGTAATAACTCCTGTGTATGTGTCAAAAGAAATCCATTTGTATACTTGTGATTACTATTTCAAACAGAGGATATGGTATGTTACAGGGTACATTTCGTGTCCAGTCATCAATCAATGTATGTGGTTAATTCACCAATGACCTTTATTTGCATTGGCCAAACTTGGCATTTTACCATGTAACAGCCTATTTTAGGCCTTGACCTCCAAGTGTGACCTTGACCTTTGAGGTAAGGGTTTAGGTGTTGCGCATCACATGTCATCTTATAATTGTTAACAATTGTGCAAAATTATTCTAAAATCCCTTGATTGATGAACCGCACACAAAATATACCCAAGAACAGACAATGTTAAGCTTTGGCACTCAAGTGTGACCTTGACATTGAAGGTAGAAGTCTGGATGTTGCTAATGACACATGGTCCCATTATTGTGAACATTTTTGCTAAGTTATTTCAAATCCATTGAACAATAAAATAATTATAGACTGCACACAATATATACCATTTAAAAGACCATGTTAAGGTTTACAATTGTAACCTTTACCTTGGAGGTAGACTACTGGTTTCGCTCATGACATCTTGTCTTATTATTGTGAACATTTGTGCAACATAATTTCAAAATTCCTTGATCTTTGAAGACGTTATGGACCTGACACAAAATATACCTTGTAACAGACTTTGTTAATCTATGACCTCTGGCTGTGACCTTGACTTACTCTATGGTAATAATCAACTTACTCTGTGGTAATAATCAACTTACTCTGTGGTACTATTCAACTTACTCTATGGTACTAATTTACTTACTCTGTGGTAATAATTTACTTACTCTGTGGTACTAATCAACTTACTCTTAGGTACTTAATTTACTTACTCTGTGGAACTAATTAACTTACTCTGTGGTACTAATCAACTTACTCTGTGATACTAATCAACTTACTCTGTGGTAATAATTTACTTACTCTGTGGTACTAATCAACTTACTCTGTGGTACTTAATTTACTTACTCTGTGGTACTAATTAACTTACTCTGTGGTACTAATTTACTTACTCTGTGGTACTAATTAACTTACTCTGTGGTACTAATTAACTTACTCTGTGGTACTAATTAATTTACTCTGTGCTACTAATTAATTTACTCTGTGGTACTAATTTACTTACTCTGTGCTGCTAATTAATTTACTCTGTGGTACTAATTAATTTAATCTGTGCTACTAATTAATTTACTCTGTGGTACTAATTTACTTACTCTGGGGTACTAATTACGGTAACTTACTCTGTGGTACTAATCAACTTACTCTGTGGTACTAATGAACTTACTCTGTGGTACTCATGTGGTTCTGGAACATAACCCTCAGGTGTGTCTACCAACTGAGCAGGACCTGAAATTAAACAAGCATTTGATAGTATTGCGGGCAATACAGTAGTCCCCTACCGGTCCCTCAAAAAGTTCTTTAATTGTCATACACTCCTGTGTATTGCCATTTATAATGAATTTGAGGATGAAGTCTGTATTTGAAAATATCCACCACAAAACATAATAAAATAAGTTTGTCTATATCACAGTAATGTGTTAAGTTTCCATGCTTAGTAAGGAAATTATGTTTATACAACCTTGTCATATTATTACGATGTGGGATTTTAAAGTAAATCCTATAAGGAATGAAGAAGTTGGAGTGAAAATACCAGTTTCTCGAAAAAAATCTAAGTTCAAGGGGGACATACTTCTGGAAATAGTCTTGCTAGAGTATTTAACCTTCTCAAAAATGTTGAGTGATAAAAAGAAACATATATATGAAGTTTGAAGTAGATACATTAGGAAATAAAGAAGTTATTTAAAAAAGACAACATTTTTTCCCCTAAAAAATCTAAGTTCAAGGGAGGTAATACTGATATTTTTTGTGCTAGAGTTATAAACCTTGTCACATATGATGTGGTTGATGACCAGAAACTTATATTTAAAGTTTGAAGCAAACACCTTAAGAAATAAAGAACATATAGTGAAAAAGCTGAAAAATTTAAATCAGAAATCTTGAAATTTGTTGCCATAGTAACCAGAATTTTTCAACATAGGAAGAAAAGAAAAAGATGTGCATATTCTCCAGACTGCCATCTACCCATATTTCAAGTTTCATAAAAATATTTTCAGTACTTTTTGAGTTATCACTGGATCCAGTTTATGTGTTAAATTTGCCATATTTTCAGACTATTTGTTGCCATAGCAACCAGAATTTTCAACATAGGAAGAAAAGAAAAAGATGTGCATAATCTCCAGACTGCCATCTACCCATATTTCAAGTTTCATAAAAATATTTTTAGTACTTTTTGAGTTATCACTGGATCCAGTTTATGTGTTAAATTTGCCATATTTTCAGACTATTTGTTGCCATAGCAACCAGAATTTTCAACATAGGAAGAAAAAAAAAAGACGTGCATAATCTCCATACTGCCATCTATCCATATATCAAGTTTCATAAAAATATTTTCAGTACTTTTTGCGTTATCGCGGGATCCAGTTTTGTGGACGGACGGACTGACGGACTGACAGACGGACGTTCTCACAGGACAGTAATTATGTGGCTACTCTATTGTTCTCTCTATTGTTCTTTTAGCCACGCAAAAGAAAAATAGCCACATAAAAGCATTACGGAATGAATGACATCAAAGAGAACCTATTGTCCCTCTAGCCACATAATTACTCTCCTGTGAGTGCGGACAGACAGACGGACAGACAGACAGACGGACGGAGGGTAAACCTAAAGTCCCCTCCGGTTAAACCGGTAGGGGACTAATAAGCTGTGTCATGACAAAACCAACATAGTGCGTTTGCAACCCGCAAGGATCCAGACCAGCCTGCACATCCGTGCAGTGAGTCTGATCTGTGCAGTCTGATCAGGATCCATGCTGTTCGCTTACCAACCCTATAACAAGTAGAGAAACTGATAGCTAACAGCATGGATCCTGATCAGACTGCGCTGATGACCTTAACAGGCAAAGCAATGCAAATAACCATACATTATTCTTGAGAAAAAGGGTGTGCAAACTTTCAAAGGGTTGCAAAGGTTTATAATAAGTGGCCTTAGGCTGTTTGATCATCTTTACTTCACATGTATCTGATACTGCTAAGAATTTTTGAAAAAAGAAAGGAAGAAAAATTTCCAAGACAAAACTAGAAATGTGTCCTTTAGGACACGGATGCCCCCACATGCCACTGTTCTGTCAATCTCATGACTCTAGGTCAAATATTTTTTGGACTACATGTGCCACAAGTTGAAAACTAAAAATCAACAAAGGGCCATAATTCTATTAAATTTGGTCACAGCAAAAACTCCTTCCTTTACTACCATTTACACATTAAGGTTGTTAATCCCTGGAAGTTTAAGCAAAATCTGCCATCCGGTTTAAGAGGAGTTGCGTTCACAAAATTTCTACATAGTATATATTATTATGAAAAAATCAACAAAGGGCCATAATTCTGTTAAATTTGGTTGCAGCAAAAATTCCTTCCTTTACTGCCATCTACACATTAAGGTTGTTCATCCCTGGAAGTTTAAGCAAAATCTGCCATCCGGTTTAAGAGGAGTTGCATTCACAAAATTTCTACATAGTATATAGTGAAAAAATCAACAAAGGGCCATAATTCTGTTAAATTTGGTCACAGCATAAATTCCTTCCTTTTCTGCCATCTACACATTAAGGTTGTTTATCCCTGTAAGTTTAAGCAAAATCTGCCATCCGGTTTAAGAGGAGTTGCGTTCACAAAATTTCTACATACATGTAGTATCTAGTGAAAAAATCAACAAAGGGCCATAATTCTGTTAAATTTGGTCGCAGCGAAAATTCCTTCCTTTACTACCATCTACACATTAAGGTTGTTCATCCCTGTAAGTTTAAGCAAAATCTGCCATCCGGTTTAAGAGGAGTTGTGTTCACAAGATTTCGGGACGGACTGACGAATTGACGGACGGACGGACAAGTGCAACACTATAAGCTCCCACATTGTGGGGGGATAAAAATATGATTTCCAAGTTTTGTGCATTTGGTATTTTATAGAGGATATTTGTTAAGCTCAGTGTAAGATAGGAATATATTTCACCGAGTGAGCACCAAAAGGTATATTTCACGAGTGGCGCAGTGAACTTTTGGTGTTCACGAGGTGAAATATATTTCGATCTAACACTAAACTAAACAAATTGTCTTTTTATTACATGCTAAGAAACGTTTAAAAAGACATTTTATCCTAACTAGTACTAAATGAAAAGCGCGCCAAATTCTAATACAACGTGATGTCATTTACGACGTCACGTCATTAAGCTGGTTTCCAGTACTGTGCATGCTGGTATTTCTCTGAGACAACGTAACGGGCTTAAATTCAAAACGGTGAAATTATCAAATTGATAATTTCACTGTTTCAAACAGTGAAATTACCAGTTTATAAATCACTGATATATTTCTATAATCCATCGAAAAGCATGCAATAAAAAATAATTACAGCTAGCATAGTGCATATTTTTAATATGAAGTGTTAACATGACAATCTCAGTTATGTGTTGACATATACTGTTTAAGTTGATATATTTGTGCCACAAAAATTTTGCCAGTGTCAAAAAGTGGACTTTTTGCATCCAGAAATATTTGCGAAAATATGATTTCTTGAATTTTATGATACCTTAAATAAGCAGGTACTTGTTAAAAAATATGTTGTTATTGAATCATTCTATTCAGTAATTCAACACCATTATTATTTATGTAAGTGTTTGAAATATACATTGTTAGCTGGATAAAGGACCTGATCACTCATTTCTTGTCATATTTTGAAACATTCATTGGTTTCATTTTTTATGCCTTTTCTCCCAACAGTATTTTAGTCATATAGGCAGGTAGTTTCCTAACCATCGTTCCTGGAGAGTTACACCAGTACTAGACTACCTTCCTCCGCACTAAACTACCAAAGCATCTCCCGGGGATCAAACCCACGCCAGAGAGGTAACTAGATTAGAAGTCATCAACTCTAACCCCCCCCCCACAGAGGCCGGTTCATTTACTTAGTTATTTTTCTATTTTTATACAAAGGAGAGTAACCACAGTAATAGTGTCAGAGGGACTAAAAAACCCACACAATAAACTTACATCTTACAGGGATTTTTTCCAGGATTTTGGGAACATGACCCATACCCATGGAATTGGAAATTTCAGCGTTTTTTTTGTTAAAAATTGGGGAAAAAATGCATGGCGATAAACTGGATGCAAACAATTACTGTCTACAAGTAGGATGGCATCTTCAAACATTTAAGCACTATTACAGTGGAGAAGCTTTTTTTTTCAAAGATTTTAAAATTTTTATTAAATATTTTTATTTGTATACAAACTTTCAATTGGGAATTTTTTCCTGTGAATTGGGAAAATAATATACTACTTTCAATTTGGGAATATGACCCAATAATGGCTATAAAATAAGCAAAAAACAAGAGGGCCATGATGGCTCTGAAGTCGCTCACCTGTATATAGGCCCCGAGAGAGGGGCCAGTTTAAACCACAGGGCTTTTATTTGAACAAACGTGGTAGACACCCATTAGAAGATGTTTCATGCTAAACATCTAAGGTTTAGCTCATTGGGTTTTTAAAAAAAAGATTTTTCAAGTTTTTTCTTTACACATATAGTTAACAAGAGCACCGCTAGGCGGAGCATTATATGCCCGAAAGTGTTTTTTTTTTTTAGTAAAGATGAAGCATTTGTAAGACATGGGACAAAAATAAAGTATTACCTCCTTCAAATAACAATCCTCCTTTGAAGTTTCAATATTGTGGTCCAAATGGAACTTTAAGTTATGTCCCAGAAACTGTTTTCAATTCTAAGGTAAAAGTGACCTTGACCTTTGACCTTGTGACCCCAAAATCATTAGGGGTCTTTTACCCAATATGGACAATCAAACTATGAAGTTTAAACACAGTAGGCCAAATGATACTTAAGTTATATTCCGAAAACTGTTTTCAGTTTTAAGGTAATAGTGACCTTGACCTTGTGACCCCAAAATCAATAGGGGTCTTCTACCCAATATGGACAATCATCCTATGAAGTTTGAATATTGTGGGCTAAATGGAACTAAAGTTATGCTCAAGAAACTGTTTTCAATTTCTAAGTAATAGTGACCTTGACCTTCAACCTTGTGACCCCAAAATCAATAGGGGTCTTCTACCCAATATGGACAATCATCCTATGAAGTTTGAACACTGTGGGCCAAATAGAACTTAAGTTATGCTCCGGAAACTGTTTTCAGTTCTAAGGTAATAGTGACCTTGACCTTTACCCTCATGACCCCAAAATCAATAGGGGTCTTCTACCCAATATCGTCAATCATCCTATGAAGTTTGAACACTGTGTGCCAAATGGAACTTAAGTTATGCTCCGGAAACCAAATTGCTAACGTTTTCAGTTCTAAGGTCATAGTGACCTTGACCTTTGACCTTATGACCCCAAAATCAATAGGGGTCTTCTACCCAATATGGACAATCATCCTATGAAGTTTGAATATTGTGGGCCAAATGGAACTTAAGTTATGCTCCGGAAACCAAATTGCTAACGTTTTCAGTTCTAAGGTCATAGTGACCTTGACCTTTGACCTTATGACCCCAAAATCAATAGGGGTCTTCTACCCAATATGGACAATCATCCTATGAAGTTTGAATATTGTGGGCCAAATGGAACTTAAGTTATGCTCCGGAAACCAAATTGCTAACGGACGGACGGACAGACGGACGGACGGACAGACGGACGCCAGGGGATATAACATAATATGTCCGAAATTCTTTCGGGCATATAAAAACAATGACACACCTGGGGCAGGGCCAGTTTTGACCTAAGGGCTTTTATTTGAACAATCTTTGAAGACACTTACTAGAAAATGTTTCATGCTTAATATCTAAACTCTGGCTATTTGAGTTTTTTCAAAGTAGATTTTTAAGTTTTTGCTATACACATATAAGGAAAATCAATGTCCCCTGGGAAAAAACTTTGTAGACACTCACTAGAAGATGCTTCGTGCTTAATATCTAAACTCTAGCTATTTGATTTTTTTCAAAGAGGATTTTTTAAGTTTTTGTTATACACATATAAGGAAAATAAATGACCCCCAGGGCAGGGCCAATTTTGACCCCAGGGCTTTCATTTGAACAAACTTGGTAGACACTCACTAGAAGATGCTTCGTGCTTAATATCTAAACTCTAGCTATTTGTTTTTTTTTCAAAAAAGATTTTTTAAGTTTGTGCTATACACATATAACGAAAATCAATGACCCCCTGGGGCGGGGCCAATTTTGACCCCCAGGGCTCTTATTTGAACAAACTTGGTAGACACTCACTAGAAGATGTTTCATGCCAAATATCTTAGCTCTAGCTCTTTGTGTTTTTTAGAAGAAGATATTTAAAGTTTTTTCTTTAGGTTGCCATGGCAACTAGAGTTCTGCATGGAATTAAATTCTTTGAACAATTTTCAAAGGTGACCACCAAAGGAACATTCCTGTGAAGTTTGGATGAAATTGGCTTAGTGGTTTATAAGGAGATGTCATTTAAAGTAAAAGTTTACGGACGATGGACAGACGACAGACAGCTATCACAAAAGCTCACCCTGTCACTTTTAAAAATCTCTGTCTTACTATGAAAAATGATTGATTTCAACTTACCTTGTGTAACATTAAGATATGTGATAAACAAGCCAGCTGGAATTATTCCTAGCCCTAGGAAATAATACTGAAATAAAACATAAATATCAATTTTAGTATCAAAATGTGGCTGAATGACAAATAGGGTAAACATTGTGCTTTGTATTTAACCACCTGAAGGAAAATGATATGATAAAAATGGGTCAAAGACAGAAAAGGCCGGATTGCATATGTATACAAAATATCATGAGGCTGTGATGTTACTTAAATTTTCTACCACTGTCTGACCATTGATGTTGAAAATTATACTTAGTTGGTAAACCTGAAAAGAATGAGCATCAGACCTGAAATGGAATCCCACAATATGGGATCACAGTCATGTCAATGCTGTGAACCACATATCAAGAGAATGTGGTAAGAAGTTGTTGAGAAAACTGTGATGAAAATTTCATACTATCTATTGATCATTAATTATGTCAAAATTTAACTAAATAGGCAAACAGGAAGTGGATGAGCGACAGACCTGAAATCAAATCCCACCGTATGGGACCATGTGTTAATGCTGTATACCAAATATTACAAGCAATTATCATAGTATTGCAAGCAATCCATAAGTCCCCTACCGGTAAGAGCCCAAGCAACATTCTGAATGGCCATTCACTTAGGTTCCTATTTTAAGTAAATTTGTTGAAAAAGTTCTTTAAAAGTGATCACAGGAAACAGTTTTTATGTACAGACAGACGGACTGAAGGACACTCTAAAGTTATCTTTTAAACATCCCTGTTATCAAAATATAACATTTTTAAAACCCTATCATGATTGAAGAAGTTGGAGTAAAAATTACCAATTTCTCAAAAATAAGTCTAAGTTCAAAAGGGGCATAATTCTGGAAATAGTCTTGCTAGAGTATTGAACACTCACAAATGTTGAGTGACAATAAGAAACATTTATATGAAGTTTGAAGTAGATACATTCAGAAAAAGAAGTTATTAAAAAAAACAAGCAATTATCATAGTATTGCAAGCAATCCATAAGTCCCCTACCGGTAACCCTTGCAGAAATATATACTGGTATTTAAAAAGTCCCAGTATTTCCCAGTTATTATCCTAGAAAATTCCAGAATGTTAAAACCAGTCTTGGCTATTCTAGTATGGCCTAGGAAGTACCAGTTACTGAGAACTAGGCATTTCTAATAATTTTTAAACAACTCATCAATTTCAAAGTTATACTAGGAATTGTAATTTATTTTCTGAGATTTCTAAGACTTAAGATTTCGCAAAATTCCTAGTCTTTAGGAATTACTTAGAATTTATCTTGTAGAACAAAATCCTTAACATCTGTGCTAAATTCCTTGAATCTTACATAAATTCCTAAAGACTAGGAATTCTCTTTGTTGAAAGTAAACAAGTAAATAAAGAAGGAAGACAATAAAATTGAAAATAAAAATGTTTTCTTTCTTTTTTTAAATAAAACAACATACTGATCTAGATCTATTTAATAATATTTTTCTAGGATTACTTTTATTATTATTATTTAATTGAAATTTAATAATCAATTGACCTTAATGGTCAACCTGCATTATGACAATTTTATCATTGGCCATTTAATTAATAGATAATAGGAATATATAATCACAGATATACAGTCTATTCAACTCCATGATATAATCCAAAAAGAAATAACAAATGTACAGGCACTCCAAGTAAATCAAAGACGTATTATAAACCTTAAGAAAATAATCAATAATTGACATCTGAAGTATGTAATTTTTATCAGTTGTGTAGAGCTATTTTTAGCGCTGTCATTGCATCCACTGATGTCATGCTTCAGTGCACAGGCTGTGTGTATAAACCACTTTATAATACTGCACGTTTGTAACGTCATTTTTCATTGGATAATCGTGACGTTTATATAGTTTTATATACACGGCTGCTGTCGATTCATGAAGAAATCTTACCTTTTTTCTCTAAAAATGATGCTTGCTGTATTATAAATTCGTTATAAAGATTGTTGACAGGTTATATGGCCGTATATAAACGGCTATTTGCAATATAACCCTCGCCTAACGGCTCGGGTTATATTTACAAATAGCCGATTATATAGGGCCATATAACCTGTCAACGATCTTTATAACTAATATTATACACGGCTTATACTGCCTGTTGACATTTTAATTGATTGTGATTTGAACATATGTAGATCTAATTAGGGGTGGATTTAAGGTGATTATTATTGCATAGTTGAAAATCCCATGTGGCGAATAGACTCTTGTGCAGATTTTTTCACGTGTCAAATTTGTGCATTTCCAAATTTTCACGAGTCAAAACCCGAATCCCCGCCAGAATTAAAGTAGGCCTATATGTGGCAGGTCATATTTAAACTGACGGAAATTAACGATGATAACTTAGTCTTTACTTAACCAGCGAACCTTTACGATTATACTCGAGCAATTTCCGGATTTTACGCTAACCGAGACGAGCATAATTTCATGACGTATTGGATACGTATACTGATGACGTAGCAACACAATTGTTTTGGAAACTACTGTAGTTTTGTATGAAATTCAAGCGCTTGTTGGGCTTAAAATAATAGATTTGTGAAATAAAATTCAACGATATAATTGAAATTATTCAGTCATTGTATTGACGGCAAAAACAACGGAACTACACGAAATTTTGCGAATCAAGCACATGTTACTGACGTAGTACACAGGTTTATTACGTAGAACACAGGTTTATTGTGCGCGCAATATTCAAAGACGGCAGACACTTCGTCTCATATCGACAGTGAACTAATATCGTCTCCCCAATAAAGACATACAACGAGGAAGGTGAAATAGCTCAAGCAAATTATCAGAAGAAGACCTTCAAAGCTGCAATCGGTGAAATTCACTGTGAGTATTATCATAAATGCACTGATTTTTCCCAAACAGAGCCGGCGTGTTTATGACCTCTAGAAAAAATGAAGAGTCTAGAGATTATTTTAATGACCTTTCTTCACTTCTAAAAGCATTATTTTGTAACAGTTTGTAACAATTTGCCGACTGTAACAATAGAAATAATAATTGTATTTGCAGCTTATTCCTAGTTACAGTTCAGATACTTAAACCTTACTGGAAAAAATGCGTAAACGGACATTTGTCACATATTTTCGCGACCTGTTTTTATTTATTTCTTTGTTGAACAGGAAAGATATAATAATAATAAATAAAAAACAAAGCATCGTTGAAGATGGCTGTGCTTCCCTGCAGGAAATTATTTGCTTATGCCCTTTAAAAGTACAAAATATTGTTTTGAAAAATGCATGGCTAGCAAGTTTTTTTTACCCCAGACAGTGCAATACCCTAGTATGCAGACAGTTCACTACCTTAGCAATTTTGAACTTGTATTAGAAAAAAAAGTTTTTCATAAAGAAACAATATTTTTATATGACCATTAATTTATGTAGATCTAGTTATATATTAGAATATGATAAACAAGATCAACAAGAAAAGATGATGTTCAATAAGCCTACATCATGTCTGTATTTTAAAATAACACATTACTGACAGACTGTATTTTTAAATCACAATAAGATACCTCCAAAAATTTATTTGAAACAGAAATCATGTTTTCTGTTTGTTTTTGATTTATGTGTGTGTTTGTGTGTGATTTAATCTCTAGATTTCTGTGCATGTATAGGAATTATTGGACCACTAAAAAAGTTGTCTAGGCCACCAAAATTTGTCGGTCATTCAGTGGTCCAAGTGACAGCCTAGCTAAAATGGTTTGTCTTTGACACTGTCTAAGCCTATACTAGAGAATCTGAATACTGGTCCGTCAAAAATAAATCCCACATGATGATTTGCAAAGAACAAAAATAGCACAAACAGTGTCATACTTTAAGCACTAACCTGAATACATTGCCTTAATCTCAGTCATTGAATTTAAGATTTTTGAATATACTCGTCCGAATTCCAGTTTTGAATTTATTCTACTATATATTTAACTCTTAAAATTTACACTGGTCATGGGCCACCGGGCCAGTGCTAAATTCGATGACTGTAATCTGTTATTGTATTAGGGGGCAGGACATGAAGTGGTTGAACACGCTTGAACAAGATATTTTTGTGGCCCCACTTTAGTGGCGGGCATTTAGATTTACCCTTGTCCGTCCGTTCTCTTTTGTGTCGGATGTAACTCAAAAAGTATTTGACCTAGAGTCATGAAACTTTACAGGAATGTTGATCAGCATGTGTAGTTGTGCACCTGGGTATTTTTGTCTGGATTTATATAGTATTTTTAGAGTTATTGCCCTTGACTTAGTAAAATTTTGCAATTTTCAACTTGTGTCGCATGTAACTCAAAATGGGTTTGACATAGAGTCATGAAACTTTGCAGGAATGTTGATCAGCATGTGAAGTTGTGCACTGGATATTTTCGTGTGGATTTATTTTATTTTTTAGAGTTATTGACCTTGACTTAGAAAATTTTTGCAATTTTCAACTTGTTGCATGTAAATCAAAAAGGATTTGACATAGAGTCATTAAACCTTACGGGAAGGTCGGTCAGCATATGTAGTTGTGCACCTTGGGTTCCTCTTGTGGATTTATCCCGTATTTGTAGAGTTATTTCCCTTGACTTCGTAAAAACCGTTTCATTATGTTGTGTTATTTGTTCCTTGAGTGCTTGAGTTAGAATCAACCAACTTTACAGAAATAATGATCAACATCACTAAATTACAGGAATAACAATGATAATAAATAATAATAAAAAAAATGCACAGTATATTTTCATTAGTTTGCCTTTTTTGGTGAACTTCAAAACTTACATATGTGAATAAATGAGCATAAAAACCGCCCTGGATTTTCACTTATCAAATTTCAAAATATGTACATGACCAGTTTATAACTTCAATAGCTTTGTATAACCAAAAGCTACAAATCTGAGGCCCAGAACAGAGTGTGTCATAAACACGTCCTTCATGAATGGCCATTTAAAAAAAAATCAAATAACATACAAACCGACTTACCTGAAAAAATATGTGAGAGTTTTGTAAATATTTAAGACACAGAAACCATTTTGTCAAGTTTGCAATGATTTTACTTGC